GAGGAAGTTCAAAATAGCTGACTTCCTGTTGTGTTTAGGGCTATGCTCCAAGAGACTTTTTTGTAGGTATTGGGTCATTACATGTATGTCCCAAATTTCATACCTGTACGTGAAACGTAGAGCCGGGGCAAAATGTCAGGGCAATAATTTAAAGAATTTGCCCCACCCAATTTTGAAAACCATATCACACGTAAATTTTCACCACTTCTGAAGCGTGTGCAAAGTTTCTTGAGTTTTCGAGCATGTTTAGACCCTCTAAAAAGTTATTCTTTTAAGAGAAGAAGAATAAACAGAGCAAAAACAATAGGTTCACTTCACTGAACATAAAACTCTTGCAGAAGCTCACGAAAGCTCATAAAGCATTTACACAAGTGTCCCTGCAAACAGACTGAACGCCCAGAGCCTCGTTTCCAGAAACATTCTGTCTACCGGGATTTAAAAACAACTTCCTTGAATTGAAAGTAAATTTATTTGGCATCCTATCAAAGATAGGGTGAGGGATATTTCAAAGACACTGTGGAACAATGTTGATCAACCCAAACAAACACACGCCTCTCTTCCAAAACTCGTCCTGCGATTTGGGGATGCACAATATACCGGCCACCAAAATCGGTCGAAATACGTTCCTTTATAATCTTAACATTATCGGCCTGATAGAAACAATCATTTCTATTAAAGCCGATAAATAATGTATTATTTCCTTCAGCTGAGACACTTCAGATGCGCACTGTTTTATGATGATGGTTTGGAATCGCTTGAAATATTATAGGAAAATGGAAAATACAGTAAAGAAGTCAAGTCTGTCATCATATCGGCATAAAATTATCATGAGAACATTTTAAATGTGTGCTTGGAAGTTTTATTTTTGTAATCAGTCCCTTAAAAATTAAATAAAATTTTGGATTTAGATCTTTCGTAAAATATATCGGTTATCGGATTTCAAATATAACTAATTATTGGTTATCGTTATCGGCCAAAATGTTAATATCGGTGCGTCCCTGCCCCAATCCTAAACCCCCTGCGCTTCGAGTCGTTCTCGAACCCCGATTGCTGGCATTCGTAATGATGCTAAACACCGCATTCTCTAGCAATCGTCAGCGCGACTCTCACGAACTGACGTCCGTTACGCACACAATACAAGAGTGGATGTCTGTTTATCATAGCAGAAGCAGAATAATGCTTCACGTAAAATAAAACGCAGATGATGAACCAATGACGAGGAAGCACACGAATTTAACGTACAGTACACAATAGTAATTACAAACCAGAGTTGGTTGTTAGGGGACATTCTAAAACGCTTAACGTGAAAACTACTTAACGCGGCTTCATGTACTACTAACATAGTTTTATTAAAAGACCAAACTCAGTAAACATCATACTAATAAAGTTATGCTTGTGGAATTATTTTAAACATGTTGAGTTCAAATTCTGGGCTCATCTGATTTTTTGTGTTTTGATGTTTTTTGAGGTTTGTGTTTTAATATCACACTATTAGTACATTAAGCCATGTTAAGCGTTATTAGTTGTCAACAGCACAGCAGCTCAGACAGACACACACCGATACTCAAACCCAGTGATACTCAGTTTTCTTCACGTGTTACTCAGTGTTACTCACGTGTTACTCAGCGTTACTTGCATGATACTCAGTGTTCTTCACGTGTTACTCAGTGTTATTCACGTGTTACTCAGCGTTACTCGCATGTTACTCAGTGTTATTCACGTGTTACTCAGTGTCACTTGCGTGTTACTCACGTGTTACTCAGTGTTACTCACGTGTTACTCAGTGTCACTTGCGTGTTACTCATGTGTTACTCAGTGTTATTCACGTGTTACTCAGTGTTACTTGCGTGTTACTCAGTGTTGCACGTTATTCACATGTTACTCGTGTGTTACTCAGTGTTACTCGCAGGTTATTCACGTTACTTAGTGTTACTCGCATGTTATTCACATGTTGCTGAGTGTTACTTGTGTATAACTCAGTGTTACTGACATGTTACTCACGTGTTACGTGTGACTCGCGTGTTACTCAGTCGCAAGTTACTCGTGAGTTACTCGCGTGTTACTCAGTGTTACCCGCGTGTCTAAGCACCATCCGCGTGTGTTTCCAGGCTTTCCCGCTTCGCTCCCTCCCGCGCTGGAAAGCTTTTCTAATATTAACACTGGGCCTAAAGCTCTTGGCCAGTCATAACCCTTAATTTTCCAGTGATTTCCTCCTCTTTTGTATTGTCTCATCTCAGTCTTCCTTCAGTTTACATCTCACTCCTGCTCGCTCTCTCTCCTCCACCGTCACACGTCCCTAACGCTGATGGGCCACACACGTTTGTTGTTGTCTGTTTGTGTGTCGGTCTGACTAACTTCCAAAAGGGCTTTTTTAAATATCGCTTGCCCACCTTTAAGTTGGGCAAATTATGTAAAAATAATAATAACATTATAATCAGGGTTTGAAATGAACTTTTTCACTCACCGGCCATTTTTGCTACTAAATGTTTAAGTTCCCAGCCATTCAGAACTTCTACTAACCCCAAAGAAAAAAAAAGAAATACAACAGAATAAGACTGATAGGTGCAGATTCTGTACAATACGCTTTATTTAATATTTCATGATGACTCAAACTAAATTTGTGCTGATTTGGCTACACAAACTTCCCCAGCAGAGTGAGTAAACATAACAAGTAACACATTTGACAGTGTTACCCGCCTCAGTTGATTTTTACCCACATTTGGCGGTCAGCAAGTGTTAACGTCGAACCCTGATTATAATAATATCCCAATATATAACAACACAGCACTGCAGATTTTCATGTCCATCCTCCATTAGGTCATTCCTGAAGCCTAATGGTGGACGGCTGCATGGACCTCCCTGGCATGCTAACAAAAACTTCTATGAATTATGGATCGTTTATTGTAATCAGTGTTGCTCTCCACCAGGAATCCAGACACTGAACACAACCGATTACACAAGTACATCGCAAGGCGTTTCTTCTCAGATGTCAAGTAGACATTTCGAAAATGTAAATCGGACTTTTTAAAGACGTTTGTCAGATTGTTTGACTTTATTACTGATCTGCCTGAATTTACACCGTTACATGAGAACTGAACTGAGCTGGACGATGACATCACTGTTTCACAGAGCGGCGGAATATAATAAACTAAATAACTTCATTACAACAGAAATGAACTCACTGAACACTATTTTTCTTCAAGATCTGCTAATACTGCTATATAGCAGAAACAAATATTTTCCTGTTATCACTGTAAAGATGCTTTGAAACTCTCCATTGTGAGTACAGGTGTCTTGAAGTGACTTGACTAGAAGCTTTACCGACGAAGTGCTCATTATAAGACACGTGTGCTGTCTGGGAATTGTTGTTTTTTTCTACAGAAGCATCTCATCTATCTAAGAAGCACACATCTTATTACACAGCTCCCTGTAGTTCTTGATTCAGACGGGTCAATTGTGGGATTCACAGCCATCAGTTATTCCCTTATATTTACTGTGATCCATGGGAATGCTGTATATCCGAGTATCTGTACTGGTACACAACACAAAGCGACTGACGTCATCCTGCGCCTCATTTATCATTCGTGGTGACTGAACATCAGCAAAACAGTGTTATTGCGGTAATGCATTGCGGTGTTTGTCTTGTTACTAGGTTGATTTGTACGTTGTAATGTACAATTTTTCTTAGTGGAAGCTTTAGGATAATATACAGGTAAAATAATAAAATGGTGTTTTGGCTGGCTTACCAAAAAGCTATAGGCCATGCATATTCAATTTCAACATGACCGCAACACGTAATGGTAACAGTATAGCACCATTTTACTTTACACCACAAGGTTTACACCACAAGCGTCTATGATAATGTAGAAACAAAGGAAGAGCTGCAGATGACGCCGTTGTTATAAAAACAGTAGTAGAAACACATGGAGCAGTAAAAACGTGAATTTGATACTTTCGCTAAAACACTGCAGAAAACAACAATGCTGCAAATAGGTATATAATTATGACCGTACATTTAGCATTATTAATCAACATGGTAAGAGCATTTCATAATAAACATATTGTTGTAATTGGGAAAATTATTTGTAAATGGCAAAGAAACACAACAAACTTTGAAATGACAAGTTAACTTTGTTTTCTGCTCATAATGAGGGCGTTTTGATTATAATGTACATTGTTTGTTTGGTTTTAGCAGATACTTATTTTAAGCAAAATATAAAAATGGTCCAGACTTCAGGAGGAAAACCCAGAAGACACATTCAGTATCTTTTTAACTTTATATATAATAATAATAATAATTGAATAGCCCTGCTAGGGCCTATCAAACACAAGAGTGGCAGGCAGCGGCCTCGGTCATTAATAAAATATAGCTAGTAGCCTATATCATTGTGTGCCGATAGCACAGTTAACAATACAGTGTTTGTTCTTGGTGAGCAGGAGGATTTCTTTTTATTTATGTATTAGTTTATTTTTTAGTTATTTTTTGTGGCTACATTACAAATAAAGTCCCCCAACTACGACTCTATTATGCCATACTGTAAAACAAAAAATATGAAAGAGCTCATTATGTGTGAGCGCATGGGCCTAGGCTACATTTAAACACATGCTTTATAATTATTTTTTAAACAACAAAATGCGAGCTATTTTGAATCTTACGATATTTTATAGTCTAATTGACGCAGGCTATTTTTCAATAAATAAATATTTAACTGAAAAACAGCCGAGACCATAATGCGTTTTCAAGGAATCACAACTGTAAAACACTTAAGTTAGCCCAGATCTGGGAAATGATATGGGAACCACCGTTCCAGAAATGATCCACGCGTTTGAATAATAGAAAACAGATCTCAAGAGGCGATTATTTAAAACATACTGTATATATTACAGTACTGAATATTTCAGAAATCCAAATTCACATTAAAGGACGCACGCGCTCATAAACAGAGATAGATGACGTTAGACATATCGTTAGCATTCAGCTTTAGCAATACGATACTCACCCAAACCAAAGGCACATTGACACAAAAAGGCGTAAAACACCCCAAACTGGAATACAAGGTCCTTTAACATTGTCGCAAACCGGTTTCCCCAAGCTCTCAGGCCGACTTCAGTAAAACATTTCCTGACTCGATCGCCTCGAGAGTGCGCTTCTTTCCAATCCCTTCGTCTGGACTCTCTCTGGGGTGGGTTGCCAAATATTCGGATCCACCCTGAATGACACAGCGATGCGCTTCCCGTTAATCCATTATACACTGAGTGCGTTATTTTCTTATTTAATTTGTTAATATGTTTTTCTAATATATTAATATTGCTGACATGATCTGTATTTTTAAGCTTGTCGTGTTTTTAGTGTTAGCTGGCAACCCGGTGGAATAAAAGGTATGGTGCTTTCCACCTTATACGAGCGCTCGCACACACACACACACACACACACACACACACACACACACACACACACACACACACACACACACACACACACACACACACACACACACACACACACACACACACACACACACACACACACACACACACACACACACACTCACACACACACACACACACACACACACACACACACACACTGATGAAAGTAGAGCTTACCTGGCTGCATGTTTGATAACATCAGTTTCGATGTTACTCACCATAGTCCTATAGACCTTATTCAGAGCAGCGCCATGACGGGTATGAAAGTGAGGCTGTGAGGGATAGATTACCGTGTTTCCAATGGCATCCGCTGTAAAAAGCTGAATAAAGCGGCTAGATTGTTTACAATTTTCCACAGCTTACATTGTCGGGAGTTTTTTGTCAACTGACATTTCTTGGAAAGATATTTTTCCAGTGTTTCATGAGCAGAACATAACGAAAACACATTAAATAACAGTACAGCCCATTGAAGAGATGCACAGCCTCGCTTTCATTCTCATTAAAAATTAAAGATGGCGCTGCCGTGAATAAGGCGTATAGGCTGTTATTGAGAGGGTTAGGCCTATACTGTCAGAATGTTTTGTGATATTTCTTTGTTATTTTTGAAAGTCAAGTTGAATATCATCTCCACTGGAAAAAAAAGGGGTTTCAACAGTTTATTTAACAGTTTATGTAGGCCTACTGAACAGTGTGGAATGTTATCACATATCCATCCCAGACAGCAAACTGACATTGAATCAACGTGGAAACGACGTCTCTCATGACATTGTAACAACGTTGATTTTGCTCATCGAATTAACGTTGAACCAACGTCAGACGCGGCATTCTTCAAAGCTAAATGAAAATCGAAAATTGGTTTGCTTTCATAACGTTGAAACAACGCGTTGATTTTCCGTTAGTTTTGAAAGAATGACGCGTCTGACGTTGGTTTAACGTTAATTCGATGAGCAAAACAATGTCAGATCAACGTTGTTTCGATGTCTTATTTCCACATTGATTCAATGTCAGTTTGCTATCTGGGATATCAGCTTATTAAAAATGATGTGTGAACAGCTATTTAAAACATCTTGTCGTGATTAGAATGTTAAAAGGTTACACTGTTGTTTTTACTTGCAAAGTGTTTTGTGTGTGTGTATTTGTATTTTTTGTGACCCATACCTACTAAATAAGCTTATTATTACAGCAAAAGTATAGGCCTACAAGTTCACAACAAGCAATAAGCAGCATAAAGAAACCAGGTTTCAGGTTTGTAGGTTTTCAAAGTACATAAGTGTAATAATCAGATGTGTAATAACATTGCACAGTCTTTATTGGCTATATTGATCCTTGTTAAAGAGCAGGTAAAATTAAAAGAGCTGGTAGATGTGGTCGCTTTAAGGACAAAGCTCGAATCCAATAATGCACAGCCGCTTTCTGTTTATGTTCACTTGAGACATAACTGGATGTTTTATACTCGCCACGGAGTATCATTATTGTTAACAGCCCGCGATGTGTGTTGTGCTTGAATGGTCAAAAATTGCTTGGATGTTCAAACTGGCAAGCCTCGCTTTAAGCACATAAAATTGAAAAATTTTCCTGAGTTCTCTGGCTGAGTTTTGTGTGTGTGTGTGTGTGTGTGTGTGTGTGTGTGCAGTGCAGTAAGTGTTGCCAGATTGGAACGGTGATTTCCAGCCCAAAAGCTCACCAAAACCCGCCCACTCCAAGAAAAACCCGCCCAAAATTTTACCGCCGAGATAAAGTGACAATTTCATGTCATTCATCGTTGATAAGTACCATTTTTTATCTCCTGTGTGCAGTGTGTGTTACAATGTAGCAGTGCATTAGTTTCAGTTTAATAACCTGTTCAATAAACTATTTATAACATGCATTCGCCTGATCAATATTGAGCATCCAGATGGGACATAACTTGTGGAGCACTCTCGGATTATGCTTTAATTTCTCGTTTTCGATGGAAACTGACAGTAAACAAAAGGATGTTTTATCCAGGAGCTCCCTGTGGACAGTATTTAGAAGGGGAATTTTTGCTAAGCCAATGAAAGTTTATGGGAATTTTTTTATTTACGATTATTTATTCGAATACTGTCCAATCAGGTTTTTTGTAGTTTGAAACTCCATGTGACACTGCAACTCCATTTGAAACAGGCCCATGGTGTGTGTGTGTGAGAGAGAGAGAGAGTTCGGTGTGTGTAGCATTAAAGCTCCAGGAGGATTAGCAGTCTGAAAATTTAGTCTCAGACGAATAATATTTAAAAATAACATTTCAATATGTTGACTTTTTTAGGCCAACATAAATAATTATGTTGCAAGACACCTGTTATATAAAGAATGCTTTATCTTAATCTTTACAGAACATTGCGCTGTGGGAAAGTCCTGTTGGGTTGCCAGATTTACTGCTGTTTATTAACACAGATTTCAGAAGTGAACCTATGAAACACACGTGATACTTTGCCCAAATGTGACAATTTGGCCCAACCAACACTTAACAACACAGCTGAAATCTAGCTACCTTCTTTATATAATCTCATAAAGAAATCTCTGTTATATGAGTTTGTCTTGTCTTAGATGCAGTTTTAGTTTAGTTTTGGATGACCCTTATTGAACAACATAGCCCAGAATGAACAACACGTATTGAGTTTCAGGGAGGTGATATTGTTGGCAGGAAAATATAACTTGCATGCAAGATCTGTGATTCAAAGTCCTGTAAATTTGATATTCTTTTGAGTTCCCTGCCGTGAGCGGGACATTTGTAAGTCATTGAAGGAATAATTCTTAGAATTTGACAATAAGTTACAGGATTTACAATTATTCTTTGCTGTCTTTAGAAGCTCTCTCACTTATATAGATTCAACTTAATGATTCATTTGGTTATCTATGTTTATGAATATTGCAGGAGAAGGCATAGGATCAGTTTGGAAAATATAGATTAAAAACAGGTGCAAGCATCGTGAGAAAAAGCAACATGACGTCGTCTCTGCATTTTCACCAGCTTTGCATAAATAAAATTATGTGATCAATATGACAACATGTTTTCTCCATTGCGTTGACACATCAAAATAATTTAACCAATTTCAACTTATATTTATTTTTTATGTTTTGACTTGAAAAGCTAATTTGATTTTACTGAACTGGACTTTTCTAGTTGAATTGGTTGTTTTTACAGTGTTCCCTTCAAGTGTACAAACTTGATTTCCTCTCCATTTTCAGAAACATTCAGTTCTATTATTTGTCACATCCGTGCCAACACAACCACAGCATTCTGCACTTCAGCACTTTTATACTGTCTTTAAACACGTGTCAAACCACATTGAGTAGGAACTTGAAGTCAGACACATGATTGTTTTGGGTGCCTGAAAAGTTTTTCAAAACGGTCTCACATTTCACATTTAGCTGATGCTTTTATCCAAAGCGACTTACAATTGCTATATATGTCAGAGGTCGCACGCCTCTGGAGCAACTAGAGGTTAAGTGTCTTGCTCAGGGACACATTGGTGTCTCACAGTGGATTCGAACCCGGGTCTCTCACACCAAAGGCATGTGTCTTATCCACTGTGCCATCACCACCCACAGTAACTCTCAAAGTAAACAACAAAACCCTGAATCTCTGAAGACGATGATGATCCATGTGAATGGGGATCATTTTGATAATGGTGTCGTCTGTATGCGGAAATCTCAAGGGCCTTTTATATTGTTCACTCAAGCCAGCAAAGGGGAGGAAGGAATAGTAGGAGAAGGAAGATGAGTAAGAGGAGGAGGAGGAGAAGGAAGAGGGGGAGGAGGAGAAGGAAGAGGGGGAGGAGGAGAAGGAAGAGGAGGAGGGGAGTAGAAGGGGGACGAGAAGGGGAGGAGGAAAAGGAGGAGGATGAGGAGGCGAAAGAAGAGGAGGAGTAGGAAGAAAAAGGAGGAAGTGAAGGAAAAAGACGAGGAGGGGGAGGAGGAAAAGGAGGAGCAGGAAGAGAAAGGAGGAAGTGAAGGGAGAAGACGAGGGGGAGGAGGAGGGTGGAGGAGTCGAAGGAAGAGGAGGAGGAGGAGGAGGAGAAAGGAGGAGTCGAAGGAAGAGGAGAAGGCAGAGGAGGACGAGGGAGAAGGAAGAAGAAGAGGAGGTGAAAGAGGAGGAGGAGAAAGAAGAGGAGGAGGAGGTGAAAGAGGAGGAGGAGAAGGAAGAGGAGGAGAGGGAAGGGGGGGAGGAAGAGGAGGAGGGGAGTAGAAGGGGGACATGAAGGGGAGGAGAAAAAGGAGGAGGACGAGGAGGGGGAGTAGGGAGAAAAAGGAGGAAGTGAAGAAAGAAGACGAGGAGGGGAGGAGGAAAACGAGGAGGATGAGGAGACAAAGAAGAGGAAGAGGAGGAAGAGAAAGGAGGAAGTGAAGGGAGAAGACGAGGGGGAGGAGGAGGGTGGAGGAGGAGAAAGGAGGAGTCAAAAGAAGAGGAGGAGGGAGAAGGAAGAGGAGGAGGGGAGTAGAAGGGGGATGAGAAGGGGAGGAGGAAAAGGAGGAGGATGAGGAGGGCGAAAGAAGAGGAGGAGGAGGGAGAAAAAGGAGGAAGTGAAGGAAGAAGACAATGAGGGGGAGGAGGAAAAGGAGGAGGGAGGAGCAGGAGAAAGGAGGAGTCGAAGAAGGAGGAGGAGGGAGAAGGAAGAGGAGGAAGAAGAGGAGGAGGGGGCAGAAAAGGGGGAGGAGGAAGAGGAGGGGGAGGAGGAAGTGAAGGAAGAAGAGGAAGAGGGGGGTGATGGAAGAGGAGGAGGGAGAGGAGTTGGAGAAGGAAGAGGAGGAGGGGGACGAGAAGGGGGGATGAAGAGGAGGCGAAAGAAGAGGAGGAGGAGGAAGAGAAAGGAGGAAGTAATAATAATAATAATTCATTACATTTATATAGCGCTTTTTTTTTCTGGAAACTCAAAGCGCTTCACATAGAGGGGGGGGGATCTCCTCAACCACCACCAATGTGCAGCATCCACCTGGATGATGCGACGGCAGCCATATTGCGCCAGAACGCTCACCACACACCAGCTTACTGGTGGAGAGGAGACAGTGATGAAGCCAATTGGTATAGATGGGGATGATTAGGAGGCCATGATGGACAGAGGCCACTGGGCAAATTTGGCCAGGGTGCCGGGGTTACACCCCTACTCTTTCGAAAGACATCCTGGGATTTTTTATGACCACAGAGAGTCAGGACCTCGGTTTAACGTCTCATCCGAAGGACGGTGCTCTTTTGACAGCATAGTGTCCCCATCACTTTACTGGGGTGTTAGGACCCACACAGACCACAGGGTGAGCACCCCCTGCTGGCCTCACTAACACCTCTTCCATCAGCAACCTGGTTTTCTCAGAAGGTCTCCCATCCAGGTACTAACCAGGCTCAGCCCTGATTAGCTTTAGTGGGCAACCAGTCTTGGGCTACAGGGTGATATGGCTGCTGGCAGTGAAGGAAGAAGACGAGGAGGGGGAGGTGACGGAAGAGGATGAGGATGGAGGAGGAGAAAGGAGAAGTTGAAGGAAGAGGAGGAGGGAGGAGGAAGAGGAGGAGGAAGAGAAAGGAGGAATTGAAGGAAGAAGAGGAGGGGGAGGTGATGGAAGAGGAGGAGGAGAAAAGAGGAAGTGAAGGAAGAGTAGGAGGAGAAGGAAGAGGAGGAGGAGGTGAAGGATGAGGAGGAGAAAGGGGGAGATGAAGGAAGAGGACGAGACAGAAGAAGGAGGTGAAGTATGAAGAGGAAAAAGAGGAGAAAAGAGGAGGTGAAGAGGAGAAAGGGGAGGTGAAGTATGAAGAGGAGGAGGTCAAGTATGAAGAGGAGGAGGTCAAGTATGAAGCCAAAGGAGGAATAGTAAGAGGAGGAGGAAGAGGAGAGTGCAGCCAATCATCAGTCGCTTCACCGTCGTCGCCTCCATCATCAGAAGCTTCAGGAACGAGTTCTTCACACTCTCTCCACTGTAAGCTCTTAGTGTTGAACTCTGTGCTGTTACAACACACACATGTACTCTAGCTGTTGCTCAATAGATGGAATAAAAAGAAAATGCATCCAATTGACTCATACTTTCCAGTTTCTGAATCCTTCCATTTTGTAAAAAAAAAGATGTTGGTTACAGTAATCAGTACTTCTATTTCTGTAGGACACACAGACGATGGAGTGGAAGAAGGGGGAGAACCACAAGCAACATAACTTACATATTACTGCTTTTTGTAGTATTGTTTTGAATTCATCTCACCAGTGTGTAATGTTGTAGTGTATGTTTTTGAGGGCTTGTGTCGTGTGTCATATCTGGTTTTTCAGCAAGATTGAATGTTTATGAGTGGACAGCTTAATTTTGACCTGAAAATAAGAAGTTAGGGATTTGTGTTCAGAGCTTCAAGAAAAGAAGGCACAACTTCAAGAAATGTGTTTCAGCAATCAAGAACAACTGTAATACATTCATTATTTACTGTAAACGATTAGAACAAAATATTTGCTAACTATTTCAATGGTCACTTTAGACTTTCTGTTGACTACAAGTAACTTTTCAACATGCCAACTAACTCCAATTAGAGTATTATAAAGTATTAGCTGTCTTTAATATCTGATAACTGTTTATTGTGATGCTCCTCAACACGTGTCAACTTACTTTAATCCAAACTCTCATACCTAAAATTTACTAGTCTACTACGGTAGATACTTGACATGTAGGTGCAACGTTATGAACTGGACTATCCAAATACAGTGCAACCAAATATTTACAGTGCACAGTCAAACCTGTCAATAGAGTTTTCAGCAAATATGCAACATGTAGAAATATAAAACCATTTAAAACTTTTATGAATTGTATAATATTCAAACAGATCTCGCTGTATTTTGGGAAAGTTTATAATAACATTAGGGGTGAGAAAATGATGGTGTGTATGTATTTTATTCTTTCTAACAGTCTAACTGTAAATACCAACATTAAAATTCATCATATGTGACACACACACAGGTCAACAAGTGCTCAATGAATCTGCATTTTTGTCAACAACGTCATTAGCTTTGACTTTACATAACAGACCCACTAAGCCGTGACTTGTTGCTTCTGTTGAATAATTAACACACATATTTGCATCCTTTTTGATTTGTAACATTAAAAAAGGGGAGGATTCATTTCGCCTCCTCTGGTCATTTAATGTATTACGCCTCAAAAAAGGTTTAAAAAAGAAAAAAAAAGGAAAGTTAGTGTGGTTAATTGCGTGATATGCGTAGTTAGCTTGTTTGTGAGTTGTCTGTCAAAACGCAACATGGCCATGACCAAGATTTAAGTTCAAATTTACATAAAGACAGAGGTGTAACGTAAAAGTCCTGCCATATGGGAATCAGCCGGCTGGAACACACACCTTTACACTCGTAACACACACTACTTCAGGAACAAAATACAAAGGAGGACTTTTAATTCCGGACCGTGACTTTACACCTCTGCATTAAGGTATAAAACTTATATTTTAGGTCCTGTAACGGTTGAATGTGCATGAATATGCAAAATAGCCCCGTCTCCACTCACTCACACCAGCTCTGGGGTGTGTTTCCCAAAACCATAGATGCTAACTAAGTTAGCAACTTTATTGGTTGCAATGCAATTTCCCATTGCCGACAAACTAAGTTGCTAACAGGTTAACTACGACTACGGTTTCGGGAAACACACCCCAGAATAGCTGATACACTCACTCAACTTTACCGTAGTAAATGCAGAAGAACAGGAAGAGTGAATTATACAGACTTGTCTACAAGATCAATAATCAGCAATACAAGATCAATAATCAAAATCAGCGTCATTAAAAACATTTTGAACCAGTGCAAGTTCATTCATATGGTAATATACATAATTGTAGATTTAAAATTCTTGCTTCCCCTTGTTATTTAATTTCATGAAAAGACACCAGTCATTCTGCCAATATATCTTATTTATTTTGCCAATTTATATAAGACATAAGGGAGAGAGTGAGAATGGACCAGCAAAGATCTTCATTCCTGCATCTCAGTCATTTCTCTCTCTGCTTTAGACAAAGAGTTTCAGTTCATATACTGTAGACAAAAAAACAACAACATATAACTACATTACCAGAGAAACATGTGGTTCTCATTAACGTAGGAATGTATATTCTACGCTCGATGGATAAACACTGTACATTCAACTCTCCCAAAGTCTCCCACATACAGTAGTTTTCAGAAAAGTATGATTCATAAAGCACAATGATTACAAATGTTAATAAAAACAATAATAATACTACTAAAAACTATATTAAATGATGAGATTGTAAGTCTTCAATAATATACATAATTCACCTGCTATAAGCTTACATAAAGGATTATTAGGAACACCTGTTCAATTCCTCATTAATGCAATTATCTAATCAACCAATCACAAGGCAGTTGCTTCAATGTATTTAGGGGTGTGGTCCTGGTCAAGACAATCTCCTGAACTCCAAACTGAATGTCCGATTGGGAAATAAAGGGGATTTACGCAATTTTGAGCGTGGCATGGTCTGAGTATTTCACAATCTGGATTGCGTTTCCCGAAAGCATCGTTAGCCAACTATGTTCGCAAGTTCCGTCATTACCAATAGAGTTCAATGGAAATTTGCGACCATAGTTGGCTAACAATGCTTTCGGGAAACGCACCCCTGCTCAGTTACTGGGATTTTCACGCACAACCATTTCTAGGGTTTACAAAGAATGGTGTGAAAAGGGAAAAACATCCAGTATGCGGCAGTCCTGTGGGCGAAAATGCCTTGTTGATGCGAGAGGTCAGAGGAGAATAGGCCGACTGATTCAAGCTGATAGAAGAGCAACTTTGACTGAAATAACCACTCGTTACAACCGAGATATGCAGCAAAGCATTTGTGAAGAAGACACAACACACACAACCTTGAGGCGGATGGGCTACAACAGCTGAAAACCCCACCGGGTACCACTCATCTCCACTACAAATAGGAAAAAGAGGCCACAATTTGCAAGAGTTTGCCAAAATCAGACAGTTGAAGACTGGAAAAATGTTGCCTGGTCTGATGAGTCTGGATTTCTGTTGAGACATTCAGATGGTAGAGTCAGAATTTGGCGTAAACAGAATGAGAACATGGATGCCTTGTTACCACTGTGCAGGCTGGTGGTGGTGGTGTAATGGTGTGGGGGATGTTTTCTTGGCACACTTTAGGCCCCTTAGTGCCAATTGGGCATCTTTTAAATGCCACGGCACTACCTGAGCATTGTTTCTGACCATGTCCATCCCTTTATGGCCACCATGTCCCCATCCTCTGATGGCTACTTCCAGCAGGATAATGCACCATGTCACAAAGCTCGAATCATTTCAAATTGGTTTCTTGAACATGTCAATGAGTTGACTGTACTAAAATGGCCGCCACAGTCACCAGATCTCAACCCAATAGAGCATCTTTGGGATGTGGTGGAACGGGAGCTTCGTGCCCTGGATGTGCATCCCACAAATCTCCATCAACTGCAAGATGCTATCCTATCAATATGGGCCAACATTTCTAAAGAATGCTTTCAGCACCTTGTTGAATCAATGCCACGTAGAATTAAGGCAGTTCTGAAGGTGAAAGGGGGTCAAACACTGTATTAGTATGGTGTTCCTAATAATCCTTTAGGTGAGTGTATATGTAAGCATCAATGTTAATTTAAAAATTTTTTTTTACATTGTTTAACACAGGATCATTCAGTGCTCAGATTTCCAGCAGCGCGTCCAGCTCAGGCTTTTATATGGTCATGGTCGAGTCATGCGCTTGCCTCATATTTTTTATTGACTGCCTCTGCCTCACATTGTTCCAGTTAACATTTTCCTTCTTGGCCTCATGGCTCGTGCATAGCAAGATGCTGAGGACACAGTCTTGTGGCGTTGGAAACGTCTGTGTATTCGACAAGCCCAACCCCACAGTCCATGAATGATCTCTGAGATCCTCAGACGAGTGGACCGTGAGATGGACGTGGCAAACACTCGCAGGTATTTCCTTTCACTCTCGTTCGTTCTTTACTGTAAACGGTTCAGGACTCAGTCAATGTAAGTGTTAGAAAAGCCATATGTGGACAGTGTTTATCTAAAGAGAATCTAACCACTTTAACAACACACACAGGGTATTATTGTTTGACAAGGCAGATGTTTTCTCAGATTAACTAGAGGAAACAGTGAATCACCACATCAGCTGCCAGGAATTCTTTCATTTTGCATTTAGGAGAAAGACTGAAGCGCTTTATGAATGGTATGAAAAGAAGGAGGTAAGGAGTGATGTTGGTTGAGAATGAATAAGTTCTTGTTTGCTGTGTGTGAGAAGATGAGATGGAAAGTAAATCGTGAACCAGCTTGGACTCGCTGATGAAGTGTGACACACCCTGCGTTATTCAGTAGAGAAAATGGAGGACAGCTGCATATGTTCTGGACCAGACGGGATAAATAGTGTTTGCTAACGGCACGTCACCTCCAGCCAGTTCTGTTGCATAATAAGAAACTCAAGCACAGTTCAAATCCCTGGAGGAAGAAGCCTGCCAATCCAAGACACACGCCTGTGCCGAGGAGTTTGTGTGAGAGTCAAGCTCAGAGAATCCAAACCTTCAGGTCTGAACTTGCCAAAGAAAGCCGATACAAAGGTAAAGTTACACTGTTTTTTTTGATGATAGGCATGAGTATTTGAATGTAACACTGTAAGAGTGCTTTAAACATGCGGATGATGTGAACTGTTGAAAATGTGCATTGTCTATTTGTTTAAATATTTAATGTAAAAAATGTCCAGAAACTGGCCTGGACATACAGTTAATGTCAATAGAAGAAAAGGTTCTAAATAGAACTTTAAAGAGTTCTGTCTTCATATAGCCTATAGAACCTTTTAGGCATTCCCGTCTTCTATCTAGTTTTAATGACTTAATTTTGTTTAAAGAATGTATGAATTAAACAGCTTGTAAACATACTTTATCACTAGAGAAAAATAAAAAAAACCACCGTGAAATATGAAAGTATTATGCGATCATTTCTTCTTTTTTGGCATAAAGAGTTCTTTAAAATTGAGTCAAGAACCATAGAGTTCTACAGTATGAAGAACTCCATTGAGTGAAGAAAAAGTGTAGAATTGTGCTTTTTTTCATTTTCAGAATTTTAACACGTTTATATCCATTGTTATAGATAGGGTAGGCATTTTATTTTTTCATGGTTATTCTGGTTGAAACTTTCTTCACATCCTGATAGCACAAATGATAGAAGTGGTCTAAATATTAAAACATGGACATGTATATTCTGTGGAAGTCACCGGACCAAAAAAACATCCAATCATTGCATCACTGCAACAGTCAGGTGGTACGAACAAGACCTGTCAGTTGTTTACGTTCATTACTATTACTGTAATGTTAAGTGATTTGAGTCTGAGGCGCCCAACATTCAACCTGAAAATAGTCCTATAACCATTGCAATAACTCCGAAGCTATTCGGTTAAGGTTAAAAAAAAACTGCATAGTGCTGCTTTAAAGGGATAGTTCACTTTGAAATTAATTTTTGATATGTTTTAGCTTACCTCACGGGCATCCAAGATGTAGGTGTCTTTGTTTCCACAGTATTTTCAATTTTGACATTTTTTGGTCAAATCGTTGTTGTCTGTCAGTCATACACTGGAGGTGAAGGGGGTCCTCAATCGGTTCACCTAAAAAAGCATGCACAGAGAAGTCAAAATTAAACATGATTTAATGACTCATAAATGTAAGTACACATTGATGGCCTAAGACACGAAACGAGCAGTTTGTGTGAGAAAACGAACAGTATTTATATCGTTTTTACCTTTTGTAATCATAGCCATGACAAAATGATGTTCGCTTCGGTCTGCGCATGCGCTGGAAGTGATCACTTGCGCGCCGACGTCACTCTTTGTTTATGCAGAGATTTCGGAAGTTTTACCTTTCACTAAACATATTTAGATATACGGGAAACCGCAATGGAAGACGATTTCGATATATCTAAATATGTTTAGTAAAAGGTAAAACTTCCGAAATCTCCGTGTAAATATTGAGTGACGTCACACGCAAGCGATCACTTCCGGCGTAACATTGAACTGATTCAGTTCGGTTCAGTTGGAAATTTCACAACTGATTCAGATCACTGTGATTACACGAGGTAAAAACGATATAAATACTGTTCGTTTTCTCACACAAACCGCTCGTTTCGTGTCTTAGGCCATCAATGTGTACTTACATTTACGAGTCATTAAATCATGTTTAATTTGGACTTCTCTGTGCATGCTTTTTGGTGGACCCCCTTAGCCTCCAGTGTATGACTGATAGACAACAACGGTTTGACTGAAAAATGTCAAAATTGAAAACACTGTGGAAACAAAGACACCTACATCTTGGATGCCCTTGAGGTAAGATAAAACATATCAAAAATTAATTTCAAAGTGAACTATCCCTTTAAAGCCACAATATGTATTTTTTCTGCATTAAAAATAGCAAAAATAACTGTATCTATGTTATATATTTCTGTTAGATATGTACTTACATTATCCCAACAGTTTCCACCAAATTTCAAATACGGAGAAATTTATAGTTTAATTCGAAGACACGGGACGTTTCTTTATTTCCGTTTCGTCACCCGTCTATGGCGTCATATAACCTTTGACTCCTCTATTTTCTCTAACTTCCTTGCGGTACCCGGCGAAACCGCCAAACACAAAGGGGAACACTGGACTTCCGCCAATAAAGTAAAGAAAATGACGAAGAAAAAAAGTAGTACGTATTTTTATGTGTGTAAATCACCTGCCCGCTCACGAGCGCTCACTCTTAACAGACACACTGTCCCCGGTGCTGCTCGCGCATAAAGCGCTCCCCGTTCACAGTAACCGGTTCGTCTCATTCAAAACAGCCAACTGTTGCTGTTAGCGAGCCGCGCACATTGAATACTCTTATGAGTCAGGCTGCGAATGTACGTGCCCGCTTCAGCGCGCTCATACTTACTAAATAAACGTCTCACCTCCGGCGCCGCGCACTCACTATTAGCCTTAGCACATAGTGGATGAATAACGCAAACCCAGTCAAACTTTGACTGCAGTATCTTATGTGCTTTATAATCCGGTGTGCTCTATAAATGAAAAATGTTCTAAAATAGGTCATTCAATAAAGTAGCGTAATATTAATATTTATATTCGTCTGTATAATAGTTATGGACCACGATTACGCTTTGCCTGCACGTTCTGCTGCTACAGCCAGCTCATTAGCTAAATCTCAAACGTACCTGAAAAATATGACCCGAGAAGGGTTTGGGACAGGAGAAGCGTGACACAGGTAAACATTGGGGTTGCATTTAAAGCTTCTTGACAAGCTAAATCTACAGAGAGATGCCGTATATCCGTATATTTTGTGAAACGATGATGTCATGTCATGAGCTGAGCTGGTTGTCATTGACAGCGACAACAACTCCCGTGAGCCCACGCTCTTTCCCGACGTCATCAAAGTACGTCTTTTGTTATTATTTTAAACGAGTGACCCCTGGTGGCCAAAAATCTCATACTGTACGTTTAAAGGGAGGACGGGATCTAATGCTTTCAAAACAAGCTTGCTATTGCTAGCCGCTCTGAAATTACATACCCTACCTTTAAATGGACAAACTTGTCATTGTGGATCACTTTATGCTTTCAGTTGTAGATGTGACCTGATAGACTGATGTGTTCACTGTGTTTCCCTGGTTGTTGTTCTTTTCAGCTGAGACGCCAGCTCATGAACACCATGGCACCGCTGAAAGTGGGCCGCTTTATTGTCCTCTCTACATCTTGCATTGGCTGACTAACCAATCAGAGCGCCACTCTTGTTCACGCGTCACTGAAACACCCTGTGGGTTGCAGATCTGTCACTGGTAAGGGAATTGGTTTATTCCTGTGTAGATTAAATTTGTAAGGCACAATCTGAGTGATGTTGCCTTCTAATAATCGGTCTTGAAGGCAAATTCAAAGTATCCTTCAGCGAAATGAATACACTGTCAAAAAAAAAGTTACGAAAACTGTCACTGGGGCAGCACCTTTTTAAAAGGTACACTTTTGTTCCTAAAGGGTGCATATTGGTACCTTCATGGTACATTTTTGTACCTAAAGGGTTCATATTGGTACCTTCGTGGTACATATTTGTACAATTATGGTACCAATATGCACCCTTTAGGTACAAAAGTGTACCTTTTTGAAAAGGTACCGCCCCAGTGACAGCTTTCGTACCTTTTTTTCTGACAGTGTAGAAACAAGCTCAGAGATAATCATCCAAGATGGCGTAACTATCAAATGAATTAATTCATTACTGAAATCAATAGTTCTGATTCAAAATGGGCCAATTTTTCACAGTATTTTGATTTCTTCTATATGTTTTTATGCTTAAAGGGTTAGTTCACCCAAAAATGAAAATTAAGTCATTAATTACTCTCCCCCATGCTGTACCAACCCCGTAAGACCTTCGTTCGTCTTCGGAACACAAATGAAGATATTTTTGATTAAATTTGAGAGCTGTATAACTACCACATTGGCTCCTAAGGGACTGCCTCTTGACGGCCCAGAAAGTCAATGAAGAAAATGTTTAAATATCCCAAGTGACTACCGTGGCTCAACTATATGTTTATCAAGCGACGCGAATACTTTTTGTGCGAAAAAACAAACAAAAATAACGAGTTTATTCGACTATTTCTTTTCTTCCTTGTAGGCCAGAAACGAGATTTCCTTAGATTTCCACGACGCATGCGCGAGAATTGCGGTAAGCAGATAGCAATTCTCGCGCATGCGTCGTGGAAATCTAAGGAAATCTCGTTTCTTTTACATGCAAAGTGAGATATTTCAAGCCTTTATTTGTTATAATTTGGATGATTATGGCTTACAGCTTATGAAAACCACTAATTCAAAATTAGAATATTGTAAAAAGGTTTTCATAAGATGTATGCCATAATCATCACAATTACAACAAATAAAGGCTTAAAATATCATGCACTGAGTCCATATAATATATTAGTTTCACTTTTCACTTTTTAAGTTGAATTACTGAACTTTTGCACTTTTGCATATTCTAGTTGCGAATTTTGTCATTGTTTTGGAGCACACCAGCTTATAGATCATAACCTTGAGGCTAACATGTTGATCCTAAAAGCTAAAAAACGTATATTTTGATTTAAGGGGCCGTAAGTATCACATGTTTCTCTAACACTGGATTCTATTGAAATCAACAGTGAGTCAAATATCGCGTGCGTGCTTGTAAGAAGAGCTGCAGATCGTAACTTGTCAGGACGCTGCGTTAGCCGTCAACACGAGGCGGCAGCACACTGGGTTTGGGACAGAGCCATGACTGTTGCTCTCGCTCCACAAGATCTCATTCAGATACTGATGTAAGAAGCTCTAGCGAAGAATACAAATATTGAAGAAAAAATAGTCCCTGACCGTAAACATCAACAACGCTCCAGTGTGTAATATGCATGAAAGCTCAAACAAACACAACATAGGAACTGCAGTGTTGAGCAGTGATAAACAGAACCGTTGGGTGAAGCGGTCATAGCTGTGTTTCATCATGAATAGCGCACAGTTATTGACCAATCAGGGGTGCGTTTCCCATACAACGACGTAGTTCGCTGCTTCACTGCCATAGTGCGATGCATCGTTGGAGAAATCAACTAGCTAGTCACGACTGTTTCCCGAAACCCACTGTCGCAAAGTATCGTTTAACCACGTTGGTTTCGCACGTGGTGGAATAACTACTTTTTATGAAACTGTTTGAGAGCCAATTAACGCTAGATTTGTTTTATATAAATTACAGACATGTCATCTGAGGACTATTTCTAATTGTTCTCAGTTTTCTGCTTTATTACCAGACTCAATATTTGTCTCGTTCTTACATAGTAGAGCACGTTCGCACATGCGCACTCTTCAAAATCGGTACTTTAAATCTTTTGACAAACAAAAAGACGTAAATTACATTTGTATGTATTCTAAATTAAAGGCACCAGTTGTACTGACTGTCAGCTTGCTTATTTTGCTCAAGATACGGATTTATTACATCCAAATGTGTTGCAATATAGAAACGACCACGGGCCGAGAGCTGTCGTTCAAACCACACAACTTTGCGATGCTGTTTGCGAATGTTCGTTGGAACGATTGTTTCGGGAAACACCGACTCGTTAAACTATGCAGATAACGACGGAAATTGCGACCATAGTTGGCTAACGATGCTTTCGGGAAACGCACCCCAGAACTGTTTTACAATTATATTTATTTAGGATAATTTATTTATTAATCTTTTTACTTTTATATTTAATGAATAATCTGTTGTTGTTTTTTTATTTGCCTACATACTTTATCTGTTATGTTTTATATAATGTTTTTGTCTTGTTGTAACGTCTACATTTCCAATAAAGTTCGATCTGTTCTTCCGTCTCGCACATGCAGGTCTCACAGAATCCCATTCAGAGATGATCCTGTGCAGTCATATGAGTTTTGTAGTGTTGTTCTGCATAGTGTGGCTCGTCTCTCCTGCCGTCCTGCGCTCCGAATTCAAGGTGGCCTACGTGACCGAGCGCAGCGTGTACATGTGCACGTGTGCGCAGGATCTGGGCTTCTGTGAGAAGATGAACTCCAGCGAGTGCAACAACTGTAAGGATCATTCGTCAGTGCTGCAAAGGGCCGAGAACCCCAGTCCGGTTCAGAAGAAGCGCCTGACGGTGTGGTACACCTCGCCTCTGAACGTG